ACATCGATGAGAGAGAAACATCGACCAGCTGCCTCCTGCACACTCCCTACTGGGGATGTGCCCGCAACCCAGGCACATGCCCTTGACCGGAATCGAACCTGGGACCCTTCAGTCCGCAGGCCGACGCTCCATCCACTGAGCCACACCCGTCAGGGCGAGACTTATGTTGGGAAAGCCTCGGTGAGCATGATCACCAGTTGCCACAGGCCCCGTTCATGGAGCCACAGGTGGAAGCCTGCGGCCGCCTCCCTAGGTGAGAAGCCCTCCGCAGGGCTCTCAGCTCATGGCTCAGAGGAACAGCAGAGAAGGTTCCCTGATCCCTTCAGTGCGGGGTGGGGGCGGGCGAGGCGCTCTGGGCACACCCTGAGGAAGCCCGACCTTGGCAGCTGCTGAAGGGGCAGGCAGGGTGGAGACACAGCCGGAACAAAGTCCAGGCCAGGCCTCGTACCCCTTCCTGGTCAGCTGCCAGGCCCCTAGCCTGGGGGTGTGAAACTTCCTTATTTTGTAAATTAGCCCCGAATTGAAGAGAGAAGGTCACTTCCGTTGGAGGGTGGGAAGTGGTGTTCCCCAATCAAGGGGGGTTAGGAACTGTAGAAGGAGCACCCCCTTCTCTCCTTACCTGGTGGTGGGGAGGAGCCAGGGAAGGCCTCAGTGAGGGGCTCCATGGGGTGGGGTGTGGCCAAGCCAGCATGACTCTTTTCCTGGTTATTATTTATTATTATTATTTTGTTAATCCTCCTCTGAGGATATTTTCCATTGATTTTTAGGGAGGGTGGAACCGAGGTACATGCCCTTGACTGGAATCGAACCCTGGACCCTTTGGTCCGCCGGCTGATGCTCTATCCACTGAGCCACAGTGACTAGGGCCCTGGTTGACATTGAACTTTAGCTCTGATGGAAATGCCTCATGCTTGTAGAACTGGTGGAAAGCTTGTCAAACCCACCTGGCCAAAGTCCTGGGTGAGGACCTGCTTCTGGAATTGGCTTTGATCTGCTCAGGTTCTCACAGCGAGTCCCAGCCTTAGATCTGGGCAAGAGGGGCCCCTGCCCTGCGCCCCACATTCCAGAGAGCCCACAGGCTACAAAACACACTTCTGCACACAAGGCACCGCTCGGCTGAGGACCAGCTCGTCAGCATTGGCACAGCCTGGCCGTGACCTTGAACATCCCCTCCCATTACTGACAGGATGTTTAGACATCCTGTGTCCATCAACCAGAAGGTAACCATGGCCACAGGCTGTGGAGGCTTGTGGGCTGTGCTGCCTGAGGCATCAGAGATGAGGAGCGTTTCAGAGTGTGAGCAGGAGGGACTGCAGGGCTTGGTAAGAGAAAAGACATCATCATGGAACTCGCCAGGGCTCTTCTCTCAGAACAGGAGGATAAGCAGTCCCCCGCCCCCGGGTGCCGAGTGTCCATTCTTCTGCTTCTCTCAGAGCCCCAATTCATGGATCTGAAAGGACTCATGAATTAAAGGGATTTTTCACAACATGGCAGCCGAGGGACATCAGCGAAAAATTGAACAATACTTGAAAATGTAAACACTATAAACAATATTTTACAACATATAACAATATTAAAAACAATTTCTATTACTCTTAATTTGGTAGCTATGTAGCTCTCGACCAAATGTGTGCAATGTGATGCCAGTTTTTTAAAAAATATGTTTTTATTGATGTCAGAGAGAGGAAGGGAGAGGGAGAGAGAGAAACATCCATGATGAGAGAGAACCATTGATGGGCTGCCTCCTGCACGCCCCACACTGGGGATCGAGCCCGCAACCCAGGCCTGTGCCCTGACCAGGAATCAATCCATGACCTCCTGGTTCATAGATTGACGCCTAACCACTGAGTCACACCAGCCAGGCCTATCTACTTCAATTTAGAAATGTGATGTAAATATATTTAAAATGTGTACAATTTTAATGCAAGTACTTCTTGTGAGACCATAGAAAATAGATATATTGGTCTCTGTCCCCAGTTCCTGGCACAGAGCTCCTGAAACTCTTGTAACTTCCTAAGTGATGAGTGTCTCTTGTTCTGATACTTGACGCCTAGACAGTTCGGGTGGCCAGATTTAGCAAATAAAAATACAAAAGTCAAGTTACATTTGAATTTCCAATGAACAATGAAGAATTTTTTTAGGATGAGCATGTTTCCGTGAGAACTTGAAATATACTGACAACACTGTGCGGTGTTTGTCTGCAGTTTAAATTTCCTGAATTCCCCCACGTGAGGAGGAGACCCCACAACTACTCTGATCTGCTCTGAATTGCTCCAGTCATGCAGCTCTGTGTAACCTGCTGGGGTTTTTTTTAAAACCTTTCGAGGGTGGGGCCCATGTCCTAGTTCCTGATCTGGGTGCTGTTGACACGGGTGTTTGCTTTATAAACATTTCTTAAATCACCGGTCGTTCTGCTGTTAGGGTCAATTTGCATATTAGGGTTTTATTATATAGGACTAGTGGCCCTGCGCACAAATCCATGTGTGAGTAGCTCGCTACCGCTTGCCTCAGCTGGCCGACCCGCCCACTGCAGCTGGTAGCTCTCCGCCACACGTAGCTCGCTGTCCCACCTCCTGTAGCTCTCTGCCGCTTGTATCTCGCTGTCCTGCCCTCTTGCTGATCAATTGTTACACATCATGGCGTAATGACCATTTGCATATTACCTCTTTATTATATAGGATAGTTACCATGCTGTACATTATATAGAAGGATTTACTTACTTTATTTTTTCCTTTTTAAAAAAAATTTTTTTAATTGATTTCAGAGAGAGAGAGAGAGAGAGAGAGAGAGAGAGAGAGGGAAACATCAGTGATGAGAGAGAATCATGGATCGGCTGCCCCCTGCACGCCCCACACTGGGGATCAAGCCTGCAACCCAGGCCTGTGCCCTGATCAGGAATTGAACCCTGACCTCCTGGTTCATAGATCAACGCTCAGCCACTGAGCCACGCTGGCTGGGCAGATTTACTTATTTTATAAGTGAAAGTTTGTACCTTCTGACACCTTTCACCCATTTCTCTCACTCCCCACCACTGCCTCTGGCAACAACCAATCTGTTCTGTGTATCTATGAACTTGGTTTGGTGGGGGATTTTATCTCCCTTTTTTTGAGATTCCACATATAAGTGAGATCATATGGTATTTGTCTTTCTGTGTCTGACTTATTTCACTTAGCGCACTACCCTCCAGGTCCATCCATGGTGTCACAGACGCCAATCTTTCAGTCTTTTTATGGCTGAGTAATATTCCAGTGTGTGTGTGCATGTATATATATCACAACTTCTATACCCATTCATCCATTGGTGGACACCTGGGTTGCTTCCATAGCTTGGCTATTGTAAACAGTGCTGCAATGAACATGGAGGTGCGTGTATCTTTTTGAGGTACTGTTTTCATTTTTTTCAGATATGGAGTTGCTGAATAAAAACTAATTCTACTTTGTAAATGTTTTAGAAATCTTCATACTGTTTTCCCTAGTGGCTACACCAATTTACATTCTCAGCTACAGTGCATAAGAGTGCCCTTTGTTCTCCATCCTCACCAACACTGTTATTTCTTGTCTGGTTGCTAAAACGCACTCTAGCAGGCATGAATGACAGTGACCTCATGGTGGCTTTCATTGACATTTCCCTAAAGGTTGGTGATGTTAAGCATTTTTTCATAAACCTGTTGGCCATCTGCATATCTTTGGAAAAATCTCTACTCAGATCTTCTGCCTATTTTTTAATCAAAATCTTTGTTTTGTTTTTTTTGCTATTAAATTGTATGAGTTCTGGCCCCTTTGGCATGGCTCAGTGGTTGAGCATCAATCTATGAACCAGGAGGTCACAGTTCAATTCCCGATCAGGGCATATGCCCAGGTTGTGGGTTATATCCCCACTGTGGGGCGTGCAGGAGGCAGCTGATCCAGGATTCTCTCACATCACTGATGTTTCTGTCCCTCTCCCTTCCTCTCTAAAAGCAATAAAAATGTATCATAAAAAAAAAATCCCCATCTGCAAGCTCTTTGGGAACCCCGATTGAGTTCAGGAGCCTTGCTTACATTGTTGACAATGACCTCTGACGTCACTCTGCACAACAACCCCTACCTCACACCCTACCCCTCAGGGTCCACAGGAACCTGTGATCCAACTCTCAATGTGAACTTCAATCTTGAACTTACATGGAAAATCCTTTCCTGAACCTGTGGTGGGGCGCCTGTCCTGACCCCCTAACTTTAAGTCCAGATCTCATCCTATACAGGCACCTACAGCCTCACCTGGCACAGGACCCCCCCTGCCCAGACACTGCAAAGGGCTTGCTGTCCTAACCCTGTGCTGGCTCCATGGCCCTGACCCTCTACAGGAAGCCTAGCCTATAACAGTGCTGGAGCCTATAGCCAGATTCTGCAGAAACCTTTCCCTGACTTCCAACAGAAATCCGTAACTTGGCCCGTTTCGGGAATCTCTGACCTGATCTTTCATAGGAACCCCTAAACTTGCCCTCTGGAAACACCCTCCTGACCCTGTATAGGAAGCCCTGATGTGACTCTCTCTCTCTGACAGCCTTGGTCTGGAAGCCTTGCCCTCACCTTGTACAGGAGCCACTGTCCTGACTGTGGCTAGTGGCTACCACATGATACAGCGTAGCTCTGGGGAGTCTACAGAATCCTGGAGCAGGCACTGCTATAGGCTTTTCAACTCTGTTCTCCTTTCTGCCTCACTAACTTTCCCAGCCTCCCTTACAATGACGCGTGGACATGTGACAGTTCTGATCAATGGAGAGAGCACAGTGACATACACAACTTCCAGGCCTGACCCATAGGAACCTCTCATGGGTCCTTTAATGATCCCTGGCTGGTGTTCTCAGTGGTTAGAGCATGGGCTTGTGCACTGAAGGGTCTCGGGTTTGATTCCCAGACAAGGGCATGCACCTGGGTTTAGGTTCGATCCCCAGCCCCAGTTGGAGCATATGCAGGCAGCTGCTGCACTGGCTTTTCTGGAAGGGTTCCATGTTACTGGGGTTGCCATGGAGACCCTTAGCTAGTGTAGAACCCAACAAAGAGGCCATCTTAGAAATGGCTGGAAGCCCTCACGAGGCTTTGTGGATCACGTTCCCTGTGTATGTGCAGACCTGGGAATATACATCCCCAGACTGCCTCATTGGGACTGAATATGGTAAGTAGGTGGGGGTGGCCCTAGTTGAGTGGCCCATGGGGCTCCACACAGTTATGCTCAAAGCCCATTGGGAAAAGGCTGCAGGTGACTGCAGCTGCCAGAGTGGCCAGTGGGGCTCAGACCCAGGAGTCACCCAGTGGCCAGCAGCTGCTCTGGCAACCTATGGGAAGGTGGGAAGCTTGGCCACCATGTAGGGCTGTTGGGAACCACTGCACCCTGAAAGCAGGATGGCTTCAGACCTTCTGTTCCCTTCTTTCTTCCTTCTCATACCCATCCACACCCCAAACAGCCTTCCAGGTGAATTCATGCCTCTTCTGTCTGGAGGGGACCCTAAGAGGCTCACCATACACCAGCTGGGCCTATGGCAACACGGGGCTCTACCATCCCACAACTGTGAGCCCCCCCTGGGACTACACCCCTCCCCAGGCCTCAGAAGATTCCTATGGGAGAGGCACCTTCCCAGAGAACTTCAGGACAGAGCGACTGAGTCCGGACCTGTTGGCACTGGGACCTGCAGTGCCTTCCTCCATCCCTGTCCCCAGCAGTGCCTACGGGCCCCCCGACTTTCCTAGGAGCTTCTTTCCTCCAATCAGAAGCCCCCCCAGTCCAGCGGTCTATTCTTCCCCCAACCTTCCTGGAACCCTGCCCCTGTCCACCTGTGGTAAGGTTCCCCCAAAGGGACATGGAGGTTGAGGACGGGGATGGGGTCCAAGGCAAAGCTGGGCTGAGCCTGGTCCCTCTTCCCCCCTGTCCACCACAGCAGAGGCCAGGAAGAATAGGTACTGCAGAGCGAAAGCCAGTCCACGGTGCTGGCTATGCAATGCTGATGGTCAGATGATGAATAGGCGGAACAAGCCCCAAAGGCGCCGGGTAAGAGCCCAGGCCGGCCTCCCCTCACCCAGGTACTCTGTTCTCACTCTGCGCAGGGATCTCTGTCCTCACCCTCTATGAGAACCCACATCCCCCCTCCCTGCCCCATCCATTCAGGGACCCAGCTCTGTGCAGGAGTGTCTACCCTCAGCCCACCCTCAGGCTGCAAGCAGGCACGCCGTCCACTCCCTGCACAGCAGTTTTCATTCTTGGCTACACACTGGGATCACTGAGGGGCCTTGCCTAGATGGGTTGATTTACTTGGTCTGGGGCGCTGGCTGGGTATCAGGATTGTTTTCGACTCCCCAAGGGAGTCCAATGTCCGCCAACGCTGAGAACCACTGATGAAGCCCCCCACGCCATTTGGAAAGCCCCGGGACAGGAGGCCATGTCCTCGCCCCTTAGAGAACCCTCAGTCTACGCCTTGTCCAGGAAGCCCTGCCTGCACCCTGACCCTCACCTCCTGGGTCCTCCACCGGGTCCCCCCAGTGCACTGACCCTCACATTCTTGCTGCCCCCAGAAGGTCAGCAAGCGGGCAGGTGCCCAGTGCTCCAACTGCCAGACAACCATCACGGCAGTGTGGCGGCTGAATGCCAATAGAGACCCCGTGTGCAATGCCTGCGGCATTTATTACAAGCGACACCAGGTGTGCCCTGCCTCGTGGAGACTCCCCCCTGCACCCCAATCCCACTAACCTGGCCTTCCTTCTCCTTTTTCTTTCCTGTATTCTTCCAAACTCCCTTCCTCTCTTCTCCCTGTTATTCTCCTCCCTCCTCCTTCCCCCTCACCCCTCTCTTCTCTGCACCTTCATCTCCTCCCTGCCTTTCTTTTCCCTCCTGCTCCCTTCTCTCTCCTCCATTTCTCATCTCCTTCCCCCTCCCCTCCAGCCATCAGCTAGTCCTATGGTTAGAGGCTCCCCCTGCTTAGGGCCTCACAAGCTCATGATTCCTTAGGGCATTATCTGTGCCACAGCTGGGGCCTGCTCCCCTAGTCCTTGACCCAGTTCCCTACTCTTAAGGAGTGGGGTGGAACGGGTGTCCCTGGTGGAGACACAGAGGCAAGAGTCTGAGGTTGGTGAACACTCATGGCCCCTCTTTCATCAGGTGAACCGGCCACTGACCATGCGGAAGGATGGTATCCAGTCTAGAAAACCCAGGGCATCACAGAAAAAAAAGAAGCCAGTGTCGAGTCTGGCAGGCACAGGACCAGGTGATGCTCCGGCTGGTGGCTTCATGGTGGTGGCTGGGGGCAGCGATGGTGGGAATTGTGGGGAAGTGGCCTCAGGCTTGACACTGGGCCCACCTGGTACTGCCCATCTCTACCAAGGCCCCGGCCCCGAGGTGCTGTCAGGGCCTGTCAGCCACCTCATGCCTTTCCCCGGGCCCCTGTTGGGTTCGCCCACAGGCTCCTTCCCCACAGGCCCCATGCCTCCCACCACCACCAGCACTGTGGAGGCGCCACTGAGCCCATGAAGACACAGAGCATGGCCTCGGAGCAGGGGTAGGGCCCCTCTCGCGTGGAGCCAGAAGTTTCTACAACCCAACCTCAGGGCCCCCCACCCCTTGGTCTGGACTTTCAAAGATTTGTAAAATAAAACATCAGAGTCCTGAAGTTGGAGGTGTGAGTCTGAGTGGGACTGAATAGAGAGCCGGGGTAGGTGGGGTGTGCAACGGTGCCTGTGGTTCTCTGGTGATGGCGTGAGGCTGTGTGAGACAGCACGTGGGACCCTTCACGATAGTGGGTTATGATGTGCAAGTATGATTGTGTATTAGTATGTGAAACCGCGTGTGACAGCAACCAGGGTGTATGATATGGCGTGTACATGCACACGTCATGGGCAGAGACAGTGTGTGGTGGCTGACTGCTCTGTGAGGTGGTGACCATGGGGGTGAGGTTGTGAGAGACGGTGTGCATGACACCAGACAACTGTGAGAAACGGGGCACAAGTGACTGTATGAGAGGACGTGGGGGTATGTGAGTCACGGGGTGCGCTGAGGCAACATGTGAGGCTGTGCTCATGTGATTGTGCACCATGCAGGGTGGTTCTGAGACGGTGTGACAGCATGTGTACCCGGCACAGCCTTTGCTCAATAAACATTTCTGGGATGCTCAACAAGGACTGTGTAGGACGGTATGTGGAGACCTAGCAGTGTGACCTGAAGTACTGCGTGTCGGGAGGTCTTTGTGGGTCTGGCAAGGGCAGCACTTGTGTGCAAGCATGTGTATGTGAGCGCATCGCATATCCTGTGCCCTGTCACAGTGCCTCTGGGTGGCTGACAGCATGAGCAGCTCTGTACACTTGTTTGTGGAGGTATCAATATATATATAGGTGCAAGTTAGGGACCCACCTCCAAGGGACAGAAGACATGTTCAGGACAGGAATGGGAGGCAAGAGTGGGGCTGGAATGGCAGCCAGCAAGAAGGGCAGAAGGCCAGTCTGGGACCGTGGGGTTGTCCATGCGCCTTCCTGTCACTCATCTCTTATCTCTCTCAGCCCAGCTCAGCCTGCAGCCCTGTGGGAAATGGAAGAGAAGGAGGGGGAGATTAGGAGAACAGAATAACCTCTAGGGGGGATATTTAGTCCCCATAGGTGGGGAGCTCCCCACAGTGCCAACTCCCTCCCCAACACACCCACTCACCTGGGTGAACTGCTCCCCCTAAAGTGGAATCTGTTCTTCCATGGAACAAACCCTCCCATCGGAGCATGCCTGGAGTCAGGTGACATCCTAACCCAGACAGGTTAAGTGGCTCTTCCAAGGCCACACAGCTGGTGGCACAGGGCTGAGCCAGGCTCCGTGGCGTAGCCTCCACACTGCCCAGAGGCTCCTAACCGCAAGCAGCACCGTTTCCTGAGTGCTCAAGGTTGTGGTCAACAACAGCTGGACTGCTCAGGTGCTTTCCTTCATGAACACCTGAAAAAATACTCTGGTCCGGCCGGTGTGGCTCAGTGGTTGAGCATCAACTCATGAACCAAGAGGTCACTGGTTCGATTCCCACTCAGGACACATATTCGGGTTGTGGGTTCCATCCCCAGGAGGGGGCGTCCAGGAGGCAACTGATCAATGATTCTCTCTCATCATTGACATTTCTATCTCCCCCTCTCCATTCCTCTCTGAAATCAATAAAAATATATTATATAAAAAAGAAATCCCCATCTGTAAACTCTGGGAACGCTGACTGAGTACAGGAACTTGCTTACATTGTTGACGATGACCCCTGACGTCACTCTTCACAACAATCCCTACCTCACGCCCCACCCCACAGAGTCCACAGGAACCTGTGATCCAACTCTCACCATGAACCTCAGTCTTGAACTTACATGAAAAATCCTTTCCTGAACCTGTGGTGGAGCGCCTGTCCTGACTCCCTAACTTTAAGTTCAGATCTCATCCTATATAGGCACCCACAGCCTCACCTGGGACAGGACCCCCCCTTCCCAGACACTGTACAGGGCTTGCTGATCTAACCCTGTCCTGGCTCCATGGCCCTGACCCTCCACAGGAAGCCTAGCCTATAGCAGTGCTGGAGCCTATAGCCAGATTCTGCAGAAACCTTTCCCTGACTTCCAACAGAAATCCGTAACTTGACCCGTCTCGGGAATCTCTGACCTGATCTTTCATAGGAACCCCTAAACTTGCCCTCTGGAAACACCCTCCTGACCCTGTATAGGAAGCCCTGATGTGACTCTCTCTGACAGCCTTGGTCTGGAAGCCTTGCCCTCACCTTGTACAGGAACCACTGTCCTGACTGTGGCTAGTGGCTACCACATGATACAGCGTAGCTCTGGGGAGTCCACAGAATCCTGGAGCAGGCACTGCTATAGGCTTTTCAACTCTGTTCTCCTTTCTTCCTGACTCACTAACTTTCCCAGCCTCCCTTACAATGAAGCGTGGACATGTGACAGTTCTGATCAATAGAGTGAGCACAGTGACATACACAACTTCCAGGCCTGACCCATAGGAACCTCTCATGGGTCCTTTAATGAGCCCTGGCTGGTGTTCTCAGTGGTTAGAGCATGGGCTTGTGCACTGAAGGGTCTCGGGTTTGATTCCCAGACAAGGGCATGCACCTGGGTTTAGGTTCGATTCCCAGCCCCAGTTGGAGCATATGCAGGCAGCTGCTGCACTGGCTTTTCCGGCAGGGTTCCATGTTACTGGGGTTGCCATGGAGACCCTTAGCTAGTGTAGAACCCAACAAAGAGGCCATCTTAGAAATGGCTGGAAGCCCTCACGAGGCTTTGTGGATCACGTTCCCTGTGTATGTGCAGACCTGGGAATATACATCCCCAGGCTGCCTCATTGGGACTGAATATGGTAAGTAGGTGGGGGTGGCCCTAGTTGAGTGGCCCATGGGGCTCCACACAGTTATGCTCAAAGCCCATTGGGAAAAGGCTGCAGGTGACTGCAGCTGCCAGAGTGGCCAGTGGGGCTCAGACCCAGGAGTCACCCAGTGGCCAGCAGCTGCTCTGGCAACCTATGGGAAGGTGGGAAGCTTGGCCACCATGTAGGGCTGTTGGGAATCACTGCACCCTGAAAGCAGGATGGCTTCAGACCTTCTGTTCCCTTCTTTCTTCCTTCTCATACCCATCCACACCCCAAACAGCCTTCCAGGTGAATTCATGCCTCTTCTGTCTGGAGGGGACCCTAAGAGGCTCACCATACACCAGCTGGGCCTATGGCAACACGGGGCTCTACCATCCCACAACTGTGAGCCCCCCCTGGGACTACACCCCTCCCCAGGCCTCCGAAGATTCCTATGGGAGAGGCACCTTCCCAGAGAACTTCAGGACAGAGCGACTGAGTCCGGACCTGTTGGCACTGGGACCTGCAGTGCCTTCCTCCATCCCTGTCCCCAGCAGTGCCTACGGGCCCCCCGACTTTCCCAGGAGCTTCTTTCCTCCAATCAGAAGCCCCCCCAATCCAACGGTCTATTCTTCCCCCAACCTTCCTGGAACCCTGCCCCTGTCCACCTGTGGTAAGGTTCCCCCAAAGGGACATGGAGGTTGAGGAGGGGGATGGGGTCCAAGGCCAAGCTGGGCTGAGCCTGGTCCCTCTTGCCCCCTGTCCACCACAGCAGGGGCCAGGAAGAATAGGTACTGCAGAGCGAGAGCCACTCCACATTGCTGGCTATGCAATGCCGATGGTCAGATGATGAATAGGCGGAACAAGCCCCAAAGGCGCCGGGTAAGACCCCAGGCCGGCCTCCCCTCACCCAGGTACTCTGTTCTCACTCTGCGCAGGGATCTCTGTCCTCACTCTATGAGAACCCACATCCCCCCTCCCTGCCCCATCCATTCAGGGACCCAGCTCTGTGCAGGAGTGTCTACCCTCAGCCCACCCTCAGGCTGCAAGCAGGCACGCCGTCCACTCCCTGCACAGCAGTTTTCATCCTTGGCTACACACTGGGATCACCGTGGGGCCCTCCCTAGATGGGTTGATTTCCTTGGTCTGGGGCGCTGGCTGGGCATCAGGATTGTTTTCGACTCCCCAAGGGAGTCCAATGTCCGCCAACGCTGAGAACCACTGATGAAGCCCCCCACGCCATTTGGAAAGCCCCGGGACAGGAGGCCATGTCCTCGCCCCTTAGAGAACCCTCAGTCTACGCCTTGTCCAGGAAGCCCTGCCTGCACCCTGACCCTCACCTCCTGGGTCCTCCACCAGGTCCCCCCAGTGCACTGACCCTCACATTCTTGCTGCCCCCAGAAGGTCAGCAAGCGGGCAGGTGCCCAGTGCTCCAACTGCCAGACAACCATCACGGCAGTGTGGCGGCTGAATGCCAATAGAGACCCCGTGTGCAATGCCTGCGGTATTTATTACAAGCGACACCAGGTGTGCCCTGCCTCATGGAGACTCCCCCCTGGACCCCCATCTCACTAGCCCTGTCTTCCTTCTCCTTTTCCTTTCCTGTATTCTTCCAAACTCCCTTCCTCTCTTCTCCCTGTTATTCTCCTCCCTCCTTTCCCCCTCACCCCTCTCTTCTCTGCACCATTCTCTCTTCCCTGCCTTTCTTTTCCCTCCCTTTCCCTTCTCTTTCCTCCATTTCTCATCTCCTTACTCCTCCCCTCCAGCCATCAGCTAGTCCTATGGTTAGAGGCTCTCTGGCTTAGGGCCTCACAAGCTCATGATTCCTTAGGGCATTACCTGTGCCACAGCTGGGGTCTGCTCCCCTAGTCCTTGACCCAGTTCCCGACTCTTAAGGAGTGGGGTGGAAAGGGTGGAGACACAGAGGCAAGAGTCTGAGGTTGGGGATCACTCATGGCCTCTCTTTCATCAGGTGAACCGGCCACTGACCATGCGGACCGATGCTATAAAGACTAGAAAACGCAGGATATCACAGAAAGAAAAGAAGCCAGTGTCGAGTCTGGCAGGCACAGGACCCGCTGATGCTCTGGCTGGTGACTTCATGGTGGTGGCTGGGGGCAGCGATGGTGGGAATTGTGGGGAAGTGGCCTCAGGCTTGACATTGGGCCCACCTGGTACTGCCCATCTCTACCAAGGCCCCGGCCCCGAGGTGCTGTCAGGGCCTGTCAGCCACCTCATGCCTTTCCCCGGGCCCCTGTTGGGTTCGCCCACAGGCTCCTTCCCCACAGGCCCCATGCCTCCCACCACCACCAGCACTGTGGAGGCGCCACTGAGCCCATGAAGACACAGAGCATCGCCTCAGAGCAGGGGTAGGATCCCTCTCTGCGTGGAGCCAGAAGTTTCTACAACCCAACCTGTTAGCCCCCGCACAACCTTTGGTCTGGACCATCCACTATTTGTAAAATAAAGCATCAGAGTCCTGAAGTTGGAGGTGTGAGTCTGAGTGGGACTGAATAAAGAGCCGGGGTAGGTGGGGTGTGCAACAGTATCTGTGGTTCTTTGATGATGACTGAGCTCCTCAGAGACAAAAGTGGTATCATAAGTGTTGGAGTTGGGCAAATGCCGGGGATTGTCTTGAAAAGTTACAGTTTGCTTTCCAGGAGGCAGTCTGGCAGATGTTCTAGGGAGGTATCTTATCAGTATCTTTCCCAAGCCTGTAAAACATGCTTAGAACAAAAGTTATGAAGAGTTCAAAAGAGGCTTGTTTGAAAGGAGGGAGAAGGAAACCTTCTACTAACTAGAGACTCCTCGGTGGGAATTACCCCTGAGTTATGAAAACAGCAGGGAGGAGGAGGATGCAAGAATGTAGCCTTGAGAGTAGCTCATCTTATCCTGCAGTTTGAACAGAGGGGCTGTTGGAATCAAAGGAGCCAACAATCTTGGGGTTTAATTACCAGGGGCTTCTCATAAACTGTGGAAGGCCACCGCAAAGAAAAGGAAAGGCCTTTTTCTGTCCTTACAATAAGCTTCCTTGTAAACCACTGCCTCCCCAACCTTTAGGGCATTTGACTAAAAAAGCAGGTACCCAGGGTCCATCTCAGACTCACTAAACCAGAATCTCTGAACGTGGACCCAGGCATATGTATTTTTTGGTAACAGTTTGACTGAGATATAACTCACATGCCATAAAACTCACCCTTGTAAAGTGTACAGGTCAATGATTTTTAGTCTATTCACTGAGCTTTGCAACCATCACCACTAGCTAATTTTAGAATATTTTCATCTTCCCAAAAGGAGCTTCCATAGCTGTTAGCAGTCACTCTCCATTCCCCGTCCTCCAGCCCATGGCAACCATTAATCCACTTTCTGTCTCTATGATTTGCCTGTTCTGGACATTTCATACACGTGAAATCATGTAATATGTATTCCTGTGTGTCTGGTTTCTTCACTCAGAAGAATGTTTTCAAGGTTTGTCTATGTTGTAGCCTGTGTCAGAACTTCATTCATTTTAATTAATGAATAATATTGCATTGTACATTGTACAGATAAATCACATTTTATCCATTCATCAGTCGATGGACATTTGAGCTGTTAAAACGACAATGCGGTATTACTTCACACCTGTCAGAATGGCTATCATCGATAAATCAACAAATGATTTGTCGAGGGTGTGGAGAAAAGGGAGCCCTAGTACCCTGCTGGTGGGAATGCAGACTGGTGCAGCCACTGTGAAAGACAGTATGGAGTTTCCTCAAAAAATTAAAAACAGAACTGCCTTTTGACCCGGTGATCCCACTTCTAGGAATATATCCTAAGAAACCTGAAACACCAATCAGAAAGAATGTGTGCACCCCTATGTTCATAGCAGCATTATTTAGAATAGCTAAGATCTGGAAACAGCCCAAGTGCCCATCAGTAGATGAGTGGATAAAAAGCTGTGGTACATTTATACCAGGGAATACTATGCAGCAGTAAAAAGGAAAGATCTCTTACCCTTTGAGACAGCATGGAGGGACCTGGAGAATACTATGCTAAGTGAAATAAGTCAGTCACAGAAAGACAAGGATCACATGATCTCCCTCATATGTGGAATCTCATCAACAAAATAAACTGATGAACGGAGTGGATCCAGAGACATGTAAGCATGGAACAGAGTGTGGAATCTTGGAGGAAAGGAGGGGGTGGGGGGATGGGGGACAGGGGGTTGGGGGGGTAGGGGAGGTAATCAACCAAAGACCTTGTGTGCATATATGCATAACCCTGGAGGCAGACAATAGGGTGGTGAAGGCCTGGGGCGGGGGTGGGGGACATATGTAATACTTTCAACAATAAATATTTTAAATCATAATAACAACTTTTAAAAAAACACAAAAACTAAAGGCCCCAGAAACTGGGTGCTAGGAGATATTCAGGAAGAGGGGGCTGGTATGGGGACAGGGCCAAGACCGACCCAGGTCCTGACTCACACTTGCAGTTGCTATTGAGGTCTAGCCTCCCGGGACAGTGCTGATCAGTTAAAATACATAAGGCTGTATCCACTCCCCACCCTGGGAGGATGCCGTGGAGTTCACATTAGGTCATCGCAGGCCTCTGGGCCGCTGGGTGGCTGTTGTCCTCAGGTGGGAGCGGAAGGGTGTGGCTGATGGGCCAGGCGAGGCCACCAGGTTCCCGCCTGACCCGGCAGTTCTGGTTCCCAGTAGGACAGCCCTGGTTTCCATCCCCAACCCAGTGGCTTTAAGGGGCTGAAAGGAACAAGTTTCCATTTGACCCAAACCTCCGGAAGGACCTTTGAGGCCGAGATGTGGCGATGTTTGCACTCACACAGCAAACTCATGTCCTTTTCCCCCTGAAATAACTGCCCGTCCAGAAGCGATCATGACCCCGGGCACAGGCTTGTACCTGCGGTGAGGACGTGGGCGCATGGGGGGGCGGGGGGGCTTCGAACTCCTGTCACAGCCCCACCTCCGGGACTTGGTTGCAAATCCAGGCGGAGCTGCTGGCAGGGGGCTGGGGGGGGGGGCAGCCAGCTGCTCAGAGCTCGGTGCTGGGGGAGGAGGAGGGTTTTCCTAACTGAGCAGCTGCAGGCATTTCTCTTCTTGCCTCGCCCATCACGGGGAGCTGGTGGCGCTCAGTGTGGAGACCTGTTTTTTTTTTTTTTTTTTTGATCCCCTGGCTTGTCCTCGAGTCACAGGGAGGACTGACCTAGGGTCACCACGTGTCAGTTACAGAGCAAAAGAGCCCGGCTGGTGTGGCTCAGTGGTTGAGCATCGACCTAGGAACCAGGAGGTCACGGTTCGATTCCTGGTCAGGGCACAGGCCCGGGTTGCGGGCTCCATCCCCAGTGCGGGGCGTGCAGGAGGCAGCTGATCCATGATTCTCTCTCATCACTGATGTTTCTCTCTCACTTCTCTTCTCTCTCTCTCTCTCTGTCTCTCTCTCTCTCTCTCTCCCTTCCTGTCTGACATCAATAAAAAATAGATATATATTTTTTTTAAAGCAAAAGAAAGGGCGACAGCTGTACACAGGAACTGGCTCTGTTTCCCTTCTGCCCCATAAAGAACAGCAAATCCTCCAAACGGGTTGACATGGAAATAGCCCCTGAGAGTAAAGTGTGGGTGACCGACCGTCCCCGCAGCTCAGCCACACAGCCCCGTCTCCCGCTTCCTGGAACTGCACCCCTGGCCGGGACATGGGATTTATGGCTTTGGAACGAAGGGGTTTTTTTAATAGAAAAACTAATGGGTTCCTCATGGGCCGCTGCCCGAGACTTGGCTGAGTGCTTCCAGCCTGTGTGTTCCTCGTGCTCCCTTCTCATCCCCGGCTCCGTCAGGAAGAAATCCGCCCATTGGAACCTCTGCTCCTCCTTTCCCAGAAAGAGAGTGAGTCACCCGCTCCGCACACTCCCACCCCTGGAGCCAGTGTGCGTGGCTGCGGGACTCTGCCCCGAGCTGCCGGCCTCAGAGCAGGGCCAGGCCCGGGGAGGGGGGGGAGCTCTGGTTCTTCATGAAGAAATCCCCCAGAGCTCTGAGGACCAGGGAGCCAGGCTGTCCTCACCCCAGCTGACCTGCTGGTCACGGAGGTGCCGGGCTATGTCCCCAGAGCCGTGTCCTGGGGAGAGAGTCTCTATGGAAAAGAGCTTTCGCCCGGCCGGTGTGGCCCAGTGGTTGAGCGCTGACCTAGGAACCAGGAGGTCAGGGTTCCATGCCCGGTCAGGGCACAGGCCCGGGTTGCAGGCTCGATCCCTGTGTGGGGCGTGCAGGAGGCGGCCGATCCATGATCCTCTCATCATGGATGTTTCTCTCTCCCTCCCTTTCTTTTCCTCTCTGATGTCAATAAAAATGTATTTTTTTTTTTAAAGAAAAAGCAGCAGAGCGGGCGGGAGAAATCCACAGGACGGCTCAGGTGCACCTGCTTGCTCAGGGTCGCTGGGGGTCGCCCTCGGTCCCCCGCCCCCGCCCCCCAGCCAGCCCAGGCGGGTGCTCGCATGCTGACCTCCAGCAGCTGCAGCTGGAGCGGGTCCAGGCTCCACCTCCGGCACCAAGGAGGCCCCTACCCACCCAGTTTGACGGGTCGGGCCTCCCTCTCCCGGGGCAGTTTCCAGCCTGGAACTGGCGTCACTGCACCTGGCACCGCAGCCCTCCGGCTCCAGGGCATTGCCCAGAATGTGGGCGCTTGGGAAATGGCTCTGGAAACCAACCAGAACCTAAAAAAAACAACAAAAAAACACCCACAAGCATGGCGCCTTCCACTTGCCACCCCAGCTCCCTGCCCAGGAAACCAGCACATCGGCTCCGGAAAGCAGCCCTGCGTGGAGGCGACAGAGGACCTCCGCCAGGCCTCCGCCAGGAGGTAGCACCACCCTGACCCCAGGGGGCAGGGGCCCCTTTTCACGCCTGTGGGCCGATGGCATTCATGGATTCCCCTGTTGCTAGTCCCTGATGCCTCAGTGTCCCCGCTAAGTT